AAAAAGGAAAAAATCAGTCAAAAATATATTAAAAATAAGCAATCTCAATATATTATTATTTTAAAATCCAAATAAAATTATGCAAATAAAAACTATAATTTTGAGCAATTATACACGTTCTTAATATTTAACCAATTAATATTTACTAAGGTAACAATGCATTATCTTTTATCACCTATATTAAAAATATTCAAAGTCCTACTACTTCTGATCAAACTAATTATACTGAAATCACTTGCTATAATAACACTAGCTTTTTAGCTGATATTCTATTATATAATGAGATCATAACAGAGTATAGTAATAGGATATCTGATATACTTCAACAATGTTTATCTAATACGCAACCTGTGCATTTTATGCTTACAGTTATAAGTAATGAAGTTGAATATATTAATAGAGTGTTTATTTATATTTTATACGTTAGTTGCTTGATTAATAAGCAAAAGGTAGTTATAAATATTATAAGCATTAGGCCTTTCTTTGATGTTATAGTACTTAAAAAGGTATCACTATCTATGTTTAAGTTCAAATTGGTAAGGATATTATCTAATACTCTTAGAAACATATCAAAATTTGAGATCAAAACTATTAGCGTTTTTCTACTTTAAGGGTATCATACAGAGAAGAAGTTATGCATTTATATAAGAACATGAAATCATTTTGACTAGCATAATGTGTTGAAGATAGGTTGTGAGGTTAACATTATTACTACTTTTGATGATTTAACTCCTATATACTATTATTATAAAATAGCTTGTGAAAAAAGATTCTCTTTCAAGTTAGGTAATATTAAGTAATTATTTTCACGAATACATTCAAGAAGTACTTATTTCTTTCAAATTTCTGTGAATAATTACAATCCAACAAGTAAAGATGATTATAATAATCCATTATTCTTCTTGGTTCTTTCATGGAATTTCACTCTTGTTCTTACATAAGATATAAAAACATATAGTTCATTTAAACTAGACAACTTTTCCACTATATAGAGTGATGAATCTAATGTATTTATAATTTCTATGTCAGTCAATTGAAAAGATAACCTAATCTACTAAAGTAAATCTGTTTTGTAGATATTAAAATCATGCTAAACTTGCATTAAACTACAATTATATGTAAAAATTAAGTAAATTTGTTAAAAGCCTTTGCCTTATGATAAAAACTATTAGTTTTGAATATACAAATAGATTTTAATGATTCATGATATGATTGGAGATTTATTGTAGAGAAAGCAAAAAAACTAAAGTACTTGAATGGATGTATAATCAAATATCATTAAAGCCTTTAAGTCTCAAAATAATTTCAAAATAGCAATATCAATATAATGTAATAAAGGTAATAATAGAGATTTCTATTCAAAGTATCTTAAAATCTTCAGATATATAGCTATTGATGTCTGATCATATTTATGAAATTCTATGCTAAGGCCAAAAAGAGCATTTTAGCATATTATCTAAAGAAGTATAAACTTGATAATAAGTTGAATATACCTTTCTATTATATATTTAAATATTATAGAAAAACGTTAAAAGAAACTAATGCTACAACAACTGAGCAAATACGTAAAGTAGTTAAATATTGTATTATTGATACTATTAGCTATCAGTGGTTAATGGTAAAGCATAATGCAATTAATGAGTACAGGAAGGTAACATCTGTAACCTTCATATTATTATATGATTCACATTATTTTGCAATAGAAACGAAAGTGTATAATCTTTTAAGTGCTAGTATATGACAAGAAGAAATTTTAACTAGCATAATTTTATGTGAACAAACAGAAATAAGAAAGTACCTTAAGGCTTATATTTTCCACTGGTAAAGAGTCTCAAAAATAGATGACCTGTAATTGGCTTAAACTTTACATCATTGTATCCAAGCCTTATTATGATATACAATCTCTCACCTGATAAAATCATTTTATCTTGAGAGCATGCTGAATCTCTAAAGAAAAGTGATAAAAAGTTTCATATAATTAATTTCAAATTCAATGATCATTATATTCTTGCATAGTCTATAGAGTATGAAAATTAAGTCAATATGAAAGGTCTTTATCCAAAAGTATTAAAAGAGTTGCTTATTAGATGAAATTTACTAAAAAGACATTTTGCTTTATTAAAGAATAAAAAAAAGAATTAGAAAAGAAGATTAGTTTAGCAAAAATAAGGGGCAATAATATTACAGATGCTTTAAAATCTGAATACTCTTCAGTTTTCTTTAATGTTGCAAAATAACTCGCTTTAAAAGTATATATGAATACGTCTTATGGTGAAGCTGAGAATAGTAAATCTCCTTTCTTCTTGCGAATATTAGCAGGTAGAATAATATCAGCTAGATAGTAGAATATCAAGTATATTGCTAACTTTGCTAGAAGAAAAAGATTTAGTGTAAAATACAGGAATACTAATTCATTGTATCTTGTTTATCTAGAAGAATATTTTCAAAAGTGTGATAAAAAATACATTTCAGAAAAGATATCAAAAGAAAAGTATTGGAAAATAATGAGAATATCTATAAAGGTAATGAGTGAACTTTGAGACAAAGTTAATGATATTTTTAGGGTGAATAACAAATTTCTTTATCTCAAAATAGCATATAAGGAAGTTTTATTCCCAATAGTATTTACTGAAAAGAAAAAATATTATGATATTTCACATATAAGTAAGCCCAATTTTGATAATAAGCTTTTCATCCAAGGGGTTAAGACTGTAAAATAGGGGCAGTCTAGTATTTTTTGTAAAATAGGAAAATTTATTATAGAAGTATTTATAAGAGTAAACAATATATGTATCTTGCATCAGATTATAGAAAATATACTCATAGAGATTATAAATAATATTTTACAGATAAATTTAATGGAGTGATTAAAACTGCTATATGAAAGCCTGATAAAAATAATAAAAGTGTCTAATATTTCATTTCATGAATGTAAGATAAATATACTTATAAAGAAGCGGATGTCAAATAACGCATAAAAAAGGCTTAATACTTGAGCCTTACTTTATGAAATCCTAGAATTAGGTAAGTAGTTTGAATATTAGAGAGGTAAGTGACAAAATGGAGTATCCAGAAGTGAAAAAATGTCTTAGTAAGAAGATTGATACTAACTATTATCTGAAAATCATTATCAGCCTCTGTGTGCAATTTGTAAATTATAATACTATATTTTAGTAATCATCTAAAATTATACTGGAGGCCTTAAAGAAATTAAAAGATAATAATAAAGCAAGTAATAATAAAGTAAAAGATAGTAGGGTAGATAAAAAGGATGTGAATAAAAATGAAATAGAAGAAGATAAAATAGATAAAGATAAGGTATTAAAAATAAAAGATGCTTTAGCGCAAAAATCAGCTGAAAAGTAAGTTAAGATATATATTTATATTAAAGACCTACATGAAGGTCTGAAAAAAAATAAAACTATAAAATTTCATTTATAGAAAAAAACTTCTATTTACATAAAAATTTTATATGATATTACTTATGCTAATAAAATAGAAAAATATTCAAAAAATATTATTTATTACACTTCTTTTTTTAACACATTAGATAAGCAAAAGGAATTTATTTACTTAAAACTTTCATCATTACTTAAAGAAATTTCTAAGATCAATATAGAATACAAAGAAGTAATATATAAATTTGTTACTAAAAGTAATAAGTGTCAATCAAAAATCATAAGTTTAGAAAAATATATATTATTATATTATCTAGAAAATGAGTATAATTTACTAGTTGATTTGTAGAATATATAGTACAGAATAGTTAGTCTAGAAATTATATACTATTGAGCATTATTAAAGTTACAGAAAAATAAAAAAGATAATTCATCTGAAGTGAATATAGATAATATTATTAAATTATATTATTAAGTATTCTAGTAGAGGTGTGAAAATTTTAGCTAAGAAAACTTAATCTTAAAGAGACGCTTCGTATAATATTATTTATATATTTTTTCTTGTGTAATAATACTAGTTAACTTCAATTCCTATATTCAATCTGGTTATAAGATGACCTCTTCTAATTTCTGATTATATAATCTAACTTCAGATATGTCTGAAAATGTAAATTACTAGTTTAAATATATCAGTCGCTTTTTTTTTCATATATTTCATATTCTTTTTTAACTATAATCTATATAATTGCAACTAATAGTAAAGTAAATATGGAATATGTTATTATTGACATTAATAAGAAGCTTATAATAATAGGAGCAATTGCTAGTAAAGATACCACTTTTGTGCTATCTATAAAAATTATTTGGGATGAAGGATTAAGAGTAGAAATTTGTGATAAATTATTCATAAAGTATCTACTTCATTATCTTTCTTTGACAGTATTTCTTGAAAATGAATATTTTTTTTAGTAAGTTTAATCATGCTGAAGACAAAGCATCTATTTTTTAACTAGTTATCTCATATGTCACTTCTATCCCTTTTTTCATATATTCTATTATATATTCTTTTGAATTAAGGTCCTCTTTCACTTATTCCAATTCAAGCCTGAAAAAATCAATCTCTTTAGAATCAGATAAGTTTATTTAGACTAACTTTCTATCACCTTTTCTATTACATCCCAATCATAATATGTACATTCTAGTTTTATATCCTTCAATTTACCTTTCAATTCATGTACTTTAGCTTTAAGAGAAAGGATTTTGATCTTATTAATAGATGAAGCTTTCTGTGCTAAAGCTTCCATTTGGATTTGTCCAGCCATTAAGACCTAATTATTATAAAATAAATAAATTAAAATAAAAGTATTTTAAGTTTTTTAATAATTAATTTACATACCTAAAGTTAAGTCTTTTGCATCTTTCAGATCTTTTTCAATATTTTTTATTAACTCATATAAGTTCTGTATCTAATAATCATCCTAATAATACTTCACAAAATGGTGGGATAAATCCAGGATTTAAAGCCTTAAGTAAATTAACAAAAAATGGATTTTTAACTATTTGAAATGATACACCACAGTATATAAATATTATAATAAGTATTTACTCAATTTCTTTTTGATGAGAAGGTTCAATATCTGCTAAACTATAATAGTTATTAATCCGTTTTTGACCTTGAATAGTTTTTACTTTTTTAACTGATTGTTGTAAACTTTCATTATCTAAAATTTCCTGATTAACTAATCGTTTTACATCTTTATTTACTTCTATACAATATAAAAGAATATGGGTACGAAGATATTGTGATCTTCTTTGCTTAAAATACTAATTGCAATATTTACAAATTGCTTAGTAATGACTGCTACCATTTGAATCTCTTTGAATAAAATGATCACAAATCAGACCAATTTTAGTTTAGTTTTTATTCTAATATTTTCTTGTTCATTATTAGAATTACGCCTTTTTTTATTGAAAGAGTTTTGATTATTTTTATAATATATTATATTAACTATAATTAGTTAGAAAAGCAATACAAAAGACATGTAAACACATTCATATTACAGATTTATTTATAAACATATATTACAAATTCGTAAAATTTAACAATTATAGTAACAATATTGTAATGTATAATTTTGTTATACTATTATTAAATGTTATAATACGTGATAAATTTTATTCATCATTGTGTATTATTTACAATATGCGTTATATTATCATATTATTGTATTGTAATAATACAACCGCAAGTTTAGTGAATTATATACTGGGTAGGATTATAAAAAAGATTTTGGTGAAAATACTTGAAAAAAGCTTTTTTAAGACTAGGAAGCCTGTCAACGTTTTATCCTTCTTAAACTATTTATCATGTGTCTTTTCAATATATCTAAATAAACAAAAAATAGTCTATCTTGTGAAAGATTTAAATCTTTTCGAATATTATAAATTCAGATTTGATCTAATAAACAATGAAGATTTAATTATAAAGGCTCACTATATTAATAAATACAAAAAAATAAATACAAATCATGTCTTAAAAAATAATGCAAATATATATATATGATTTGCACATTGTATAGCCATTATTTTTTGGTAATAATTTTTCTGATATTAAACTACTGCACATTTCAGTTATCTAATTCACATGATGCCTATTCTATATTAATGAGCAAAGATTTCTATAAACTCAGTATAGACTTTTTTTCATTCTTTCATAAGGTTATCTAGTCATACTGTATTTTTACGACTCTTTAAAATACCATAATGTAATAGCTCTTTACTAATCATTCTTTTGCAATCTGTTAAAAATTTATGATATTTTCTAAGATCTTTCTCCTCTCTATTGCTCTACAATAAAATCACATATCAACCTTTAAGATATCGCAAAATGATTTACTGTTCCATTTTTTTTTTCAGCTTCAGTAATGATCAAAAATTTCTCAGAATCAAGGTCAATATATTTATTTCAGTTTGGGTAAATTAATTAAACAGATTTTAGAGGAATCACCTAAAGAAATAGAGACATGTGTTGAAAGAATAAATGTGTTAAGATGCTTTTTCAGAAGATTCAATCACATGTGTATGATAATTTGTCACACTGATCACTTTTTAATTATCTGTATTATCTGTAGAAGATTTGAAGAAGAAAATTATAATATCCTAAACCAGTTCAGATTAATCTGAAGATTTTTCAAATTAGTTCAGTTCAGATTAGTTTCAGATTGCATAAAAATCAATCTGAAAATTTTCAGTTCAATTCAGATTTTTTTCAGATTATAATTCTAATCTGAACTGAAAAAAATCTAAACTGAACTGATAATTTCAGATTAATCTGAAAGTTTAGTTTAATTATATGCAAAATTCTTGAAAAATCGCAATTTTTGCGATTTTTCTTAGAATTTTGCAAAACTCTTGAAGAGTCGCAATTTTTGTGATTTCTCTTCAAATTTTGCAAAAAAAATTATGAAAATCTTGGAGAATCGTAATGTTTGTGATTTCTCTTAGTATTTCATAAAAAATATTGCGAAATTCTTAGAAAATTGCAAAAAATTGTGATTTTCCTAGAGTTTCACATATAAATTGCAGATTCTTTTGAGATTCACATATAATTGAATTGTAATTTCAGATTACAGCTATTCTTATAATTCTTGGACTACCCAGTTTATTTTTATTCTGAAGATAAATTTTTCATATGTAGTCATACGCATAAGATTATAAATGATCAGCAGTAACTTTGACCAAAATCTATAATTTAAACCTGAATTAATTTTCTATATGTCACGTGTATAATAATGTAAACAATAAACAATAATTTGTGACATATAACACTAAATAATACAATTTCTTAATTTGTGTAATTTCTTAATTTGTGATATGTAACACTAATTTTAAATACTTATTGTTATTATTTATTTTAAAATTTTTTTCTTTAATACTATTGTATATTATTTATAAAAATAGTACAAATAAATCCTTTACAATATCGTCTAAATACTTGTCTTTTATACTTAACTTGTTTAATATGCACAAAAGTATATAGCAAAAACTGTATTTATCCTCCTAAAAAACTGAAATGGCAATAAAAGAACAATGAATATAAAATTGATTTCTGTCACAAGTCACTTGATATGGTTGTGGCCAGAAAACAAAAGATAAAGTTAGACAATGTATTTGTCAATTGGTTTTATAGCAATATTTTGTCAGACTTGAAAATATCAGAGGATTAACATGATGTAAACATTTGCAGAAAATGTATTAATAAATTTGATTATTACAAAAAAAGTACATGTTCTATATTTTTTATATAAATTTTTTTTTGTATTGATTATGAGCTATTATTTATTTTTATTAATTTTTTAAAGCATTGAATCAACCAAGAAAAATTAAATCTAGATTAGATTTAGGTAGTGAAAAAATAGTAATTGATTTAGATATTAATGAAGATACCATTGGTAACATTTGTATCATTGATTTTACTAAACAGCTTCTATTAAAAACATTATTATCATAAGATCTTAATATATCTAAAGTGAGCATTTCTGATACATCTATTCAGAATAAAAGACAAAAGCAAAAGCAAATTATTCTAAGTAAATTTTTGATTAATTAAAAATTATTATATCTATCAGATATTAAAATAACACAAACATATCCATTTTTATATAATATTAGCTTATATTTCTTTAGTATGTTTTAATCAGTTTTAAAAACCAAGAAAAAAACTTGATAGTGCAATATCAATTTTATTTATTTTGGATGATGTGAATAATTTTGGTCAAATGAAGAGATGATTCTTTCTAAAGAACTTCTGAAAATATGGGGAAAAATTGAAATAGGATTTTATTCTTATCAGCTATCTAAAGGTATAAGAGCTGATCATTTTAATTTAAAATTAAAGGAATCTGTTTTAGTATTTGTAGATGAAGCTAAATATAGGAAAAATGTGCAATTATCTGTTTATCAAGAAAAGACAGCTACAAAATATAAAGCAATTACATATAGAAGTTCAGTTTCAGATATAAATGGTTTTATGGTAAGTGTAATAGCATAATTTATGCATGCTTTTTATTATTATATTTGTTAACATTTTCATATATAATTATATTTTTAGGTGGTTGAAAATGAAACAGAATCAGCATTAAATGTAGCTAAAAAATATATATATATAAATCTTAAAAAATGCTCTTTTCATATTCAAGGATGTCTAATAGCAGAAGATGGTCAACATTTAAAGTTGAATAGTGAATCAATTATACTATGGGCTTGTACTATGGTAAATAAAGATTATATTATAAAATCTAATCTTTTTAGTCTACTATATTATTATAATAATTTATTATTTATATAGGTAAGCCAAATAAAGGGTGTGAATGAAAATACACCACCACCAATGCCAATTTTTGATAAAAATAAATACTGATTTTCAAACTCTAAAAAAGTTTTGACTACTGAGATTTTAGATTTAGGTAATATATTTTGATTTTTTTTTAATATAATATACATGATTCTTACATTACTAGTTTTTTAGTTTCATTTATGACACAATTAAATGATATTATATAATCAAATATCATTATATAACCAAATATTATTATGCAGTCAAATAATGTTATGCAATCAATACTCATTCAATAACCCTTCATTTTAGAAAAAAATCACCTTTTAAAGAAAATATTTATGTAACAAAAAGCATGACCTTTTATGATCTTATTAATTTTGTTTTTCTTGTTAGACCACCAAAAGATAAACGTTTTATTCTTAAATCATTTTTTGAGGCAGGTGGAAAGCAATTTTTACCTGAACAGATTATGCATGATATTTTTTATGAGAAATATGCTAATGTATGGATTGATATGGAAAAAATAATTTCAAATTATGATGATCTTTTTGATTAAATTCTTAATAATTACATATGCACATATGCTATTTTAAATAGTAATAAATTTAAATAAATCAAATTATATGTTGAAAGTATTGTTTACTAAATTTTTATAATTTTCATTTATTATATAAATCTATTTTTAAAATAATAATTATAAATATCCAGCATGTTCAAAACATGCTTTAGCCAAAGTCTTACCAATTGTCATATAACTAAAATTTAATGCATCTACTGGATTTTCTACAGATTCCACCCAATCGCAATGTTGACATAAATAATTTTTGATATAAAAAAATGCTTGCTCAATCTACAATAATACAATCAATTAAAAATTATAATATCAAATGA